AAAATAAAAAAATTCAAAATAAAAAGTAATATTTTTAAAAACCACGTATTAGTAGTGGAGAATAATAATTAAGAAAAAAATTGAAAAACGAAAAACGTGGGGCGCATGAAATACATAACAGTACATATACACATACATATACGCATTTTCTTACTCATCCACATACATATGCATAGACACAAGCATATTCCACATCCACATTCAGATACAATTACAATTGCAGATATACATACACATATTCTCAAGAGCACACATACACACACTAATATAACCTTAGTATATTAGTGTGTGTATATTAGTGTATTAGTTATTATATTAACCTTATATTAACCTTAGTATATTAGTGTATCTTAATTATTATTATACATAATAATAATTAAGAAAAAAATTGAAAAACGAAAAACGTGGGGCTCATGAAATGCATAACAGTACATATACACATACATATACACATTTTCTTACTCATCCACATACATATGCATATGCACAAGCATATTCCACATCCACATACATATGCATATGCACAAGCATATTCCACATCCACATTCAGATACAATTACAATTACAGATATACATACACATATCCTCAAGAGCACGCATACACACACTAATATAACATTAGTAGTGGGGAATAATAATTAAGAAAAAAATTGAAAAACGAAAAACGTGGGGCGCATGAAATACATAACAGTACATATACACATACATATACACATTTTCTTACTCATCCACATACATATGCATATACACAAGCATATTCCACATCCACATTCAGATACAATTACAATTACAGATATACATACACATATTCTCAAGAGCACACATACACACACTAATATAACATTACTGTTATGTATTTCATGCGTCCCACGTTTTTCGTTTTTCAATTTTTTTTTAATTATTATTCTCCACTACTAAAACGTGGCTTTTAAAAATATTATTTTTTTTACGTTGAAGTTTATTAAACAAAACATGAGCCAAACAAACAAATAGTTCAGAATCTGTAAGATTTTAAAAGTACTATTTTTGACTAGTAGTTAGTTACCCTTTCCTTCTGAAATATTCTTATTATAGGAAAAAATTTTATGCTTAAAAGTACCAAAAGTTGATGCTTATTTTAAAACTATTTATTCATTTCATACTGCTATCTAGAAAATTTGCCCATAGGTAAATATAGAAAATTTTTCTAGATGGCAATATGAAATGCATAAATGGATAAAAATTAAGATTTCTACCTTTTAGACATGAAATAATGCTAACGTCCAAACTGTTGTTTCCATCACCTCAAAATTAGTCACATTCGATTCAACGTAGAAGGAAAATCGGTAATAGACAATACCTTATTTGTCTTGTTACGATAATTTAGTTCTTCTCTCCATTTACCTCAATTTCACTATCTTGCCGAAACCCTAAGTTTAAAATCTGAAAATATAGATCATCAAGACTTCTTGGTATGGAATATAGGTAAAGTGGAATGCGTGAACCGGGTTTATTTTTACACAAACGGGAAATATTAATTTCTGCTTTAACTGTTGTGTGTTCTTAATTAATGTACAAAATTTTTACTAACTTATTTACTCTGTAATGGATTCGATTGAAGTTTGTTACCCTCTTCAAATGTTTAAGTTTGTAAGTAATTTTAAAACTTTAGCTTTGATAAACCTTCTGAAACTTTAAAAAAAAAAATCGAAATTAATTTGTGTAAGGTTAAGACATAAACCATTAAGATTGAGTCCGAATAAGCCGAAAAAAATAGATCAAAAGTTATTCAGGGTGTTCACTTTTTTGTTTTGCGCATTGCACAAAGTTAAAAAAATAGTAAAAACCATAGCTGTTAGCAAAATTTTAATCACCAGTTTGATTCTTTTTGAATTGTTCCTGTCACTATAATTTGAACAATTGCCGTTGAGCTCTTTAATTTTTTTTAATGCAAGGAGAGTGCTATATAAATGTTGCAATTACTATTTTTTTATGATCACTGATATTTTATTTAATGATTAACAAATTAACCAAAATAGGCAATTTAATTGTTATAATTTTATTAGCGATTTTCGTAATCGGTTGTAATTATTTGTATTGAGCTTGAATTGTGAGTGGTTTCTTAAAAATTAGAAATTCGGTGCAGTGAAATTTTTGTAAGTTGTCCATTCGGAGTACATTACTTAGTCAACCTTGACAGGTTATAGAAAGGATGAATAAATGTTTTAATTATTTCCTACGAGTATATAATTGTATTCAGCTTACCAATAAAATTATATACACATAAAATTATATTTTTTAACATGACTTTAAAGTTTTATTATGCATTAAAATATGACAATTATCAGAATAAATTACTATTCATTACGTAAATTTCGTTTCAAACCACTTAGTTAAAATAAACATTGGGTACATTGTTTTATAGTATTAAGTCCCCTTTAAACATAATTATTTTTCTTTCAAAGTTTTAGAGTGGCTTTACCACTTCAGTGCCTTTAACAAAAATTATTTTAACAGATATCTAAAGATGAAAATTTCAATCAAGGACAACAAAAGGTCAAATATAAATAAGAATGAAATTTATTAATATGTAAATGCTGCTTGAGCAAATAGAATAAATAAATTTCTGATAGAAAAATTAAATATGATTCGATGCATTTTTAAAGACTCTTCTGATATTAAAAAAACTAATAAAATATCATACTTTTATGTAGAATGTCATAACTTTATTCGAATTAACTGATCAGAAATGACTGTAAAATAGTACGAAATGATAGATCGTAAGTAAAGGTATTTGTAAATAAACACAAGAAAAAAAAATTAGTGGAATGAACTCAACAATATGATAGTCATAAAAAGGGAAGGAAAACTTTTTGAAACAACTCACGAAATCTAGCGATCCCATAAAAAGTTATAATTACAATGAATACATTATAAAGAATTGATGAAATATAAAACAGAGAGCAAATTCGATAAATTTTGAATCAAGGTCACGTACGTTTTTCCAGCTGTTTTTAATAGTTTTTATTCCAAATATAAGCATAATTTACTGTAGAATTCTTTGTAAAACATTTCCGAATAGAAAAGAAACTTCAGAATCTCTTTTTAAAATTTATACAAGATGAAAGCTTTCTTTTTATTCGTCACATTGGCTGTTGCTGTTGCAGTATGCCAAGGTAAGCTAAACTTTTTATAAAAAAAAACTCATGCAGAAATATCTTGAAGATTTGTTATAAAGTTGTCTTTTTCAAAAATTAAAACCAAGTTCGGAGCAAATTTTAGAAATATTCTCCTGAGTTTTGTGTGCTGCTGTGACATTTAATGAGTAAACAAAATTTGTCCGTTTAAAGCAATTGAAAAAATTAAATATTAATTTTTGATATAACTGAAAATATTATGCTTTAATATTGACAATTTATTACTTTAATTTGTTTACTATTAGTTTTACTTTAGAAAAATCAAAATTAAAAACAAATAATTTAATTTACTTAAAACAAAGTAAGATGTATAAAATAATCATGTTTTTGAGACACGTTGCGTTAAAGCTTTGAAGTAATTCAAGTTTCAGCATACCTCGCCTTCTAATTCGGATACAAGCATAAATCTTAATTTTAACGTGAATTAATAGCATTACTTTTTTTAATAAAACACACACAAAAAAAGACCATGGTTCCTAGTTTTGATCATAATTCAAAATATATGCCTTTGAACAATTTTCCTTTAATATTTATTGCCTGCACTTAACGTTCTATTGCCTGCACTGCGTTTTTAAAATCTAACGTAATTTGTTTTTGATTTCGTACTATTACCTTACATTTCTGAATAATCCGAGAAGTTTTGGAAAAATTTCGAATCCTTAAGTAGCTTATAATCGGTTTGTTGACTTTGCAAAGTATCACGCGTATCACTTAAAGGCTTATACAAATCATATATATGTATATACATAAAATGATAGTTGAAAATAAAATGATTAAAATTTAAAAGGAAACTCATAAAAAGGACAATAAGAAAGGTATATTTCCTTAAAGATGTTTTTTGATCTCTCATTTTCTTTATGAAATACCAAAAGAAATCCTTTCTGCTATACATTCAAACCTTCAGAATTTGGTTAGCTTCCGCTATTTGTATGTGATTCGCGTTGGCTTTTTCCCAATTTGAACTGCTGATGATGTGAATACTGACTGGTATAGCTTGTCTAAAGTAGGAACTCCCCTAGCCATTCATCTGGACCCGTGGCGGTGACTATGGTAACGAGGTATAACTATTTAACGTAAGGGTGTGGTATCACTGTTTAGGCTCGGGGATGCGAGAGAAAGGTAATCTTTTTCTCCGGTCTTTTGTGTTGGCCCTAGAGTGAAAGTTAAGTTACCAACCCTGAAATGCGCTATTCTTGCTTCTATAAAGCAGATGGCCTCAGACTTTGTGGCAGGGGGAGTTCTTACCGTAGACAAACTAAGTTGAAAAGCGCGAGAGAAAAAGAGGGGAAAAACAAAGGTAACAATAAAAGAATCGGTGGGACACTCAATCAGTTTTCATTTTTAAATAAAAGATTAACAAATATGCTAAGATAGCTCGATATTCCAAAAAGGAAGTTCCAGTTACTCACAAAGATTGCTTGTCGATTTTTTTACGTCGCTTAACATTTAAAGTTCGGGTAAATTTTCAAAAATTCAAAACAAAATATGTTTGATTGTCTAAAGAAATTAAAAGGAATTTAATATCGACTATTTGGAACACCGCAAATATAGGAATTTTTCTTTGTAGCATAATAATCACTCCTGAAAAGTTTTTTGGTTATTTTATTACATGTTACCTGTCTCATGCAACCAGCTGGTACAAATTTTTAAATAAGCAGCTTTTCAAGTATTTCATAATTGAAAATCGTAGAGTCAATAATTAAAAAAATGTAAATAGAAATTTCGCTTATAGAAGTTATGCTAACTTGCGTATTTGTTTCTAGAATGCGTTTTTATTTCACCATTTAAACTATTAGTTTTGCGAGATTTATTAGGCATTTCATTTTCTCTCGCTATATCGTCTGTATTTATTTTTTAAACATTTCGTAACGATGCTGGAACGGCTGGTACGGTTTCATCATATCGTAAGCTGAAACAATAAAAAACCCATTTTTTCTAAAATTGCACGCCAACAACTCAAAGAGAGGTTTGAAAAAATGGCAGTATAATCTCAAAAATATAAGCAAACTGTAACAAAAAACGCTTAGCCAATCAGTGAAACCATTCAAAAGATATCAAAAAAGGTTTCTCAACAAGGAAATTTTGAATTTTCGATTTTACCCCCGAATTACATTGCGCTGGAAAGTGGGGATTGTTTTCAAACCAGGGTATAAAAATTTGCAAGCTGTCGAAAAAAAAAGGACGAAAAAACACGATTCAAATCTGTGTTCCAATTCTTAAGTTATTAGGGAATATACATACAGACAAACTTTCGCTTGTCTAGCCGAGGTAGCTCAGGGAATAGAGCGTTTGTCTTCCATTGTGGCAACCCGGGTTCAAATTCCAGCGTTGGTTGGTTAGTACGAATTTCGCACCTGGTTCGCACCGACCACAGTGCTAACGTAAAATATCCTCAGTGATAGACGGATTATGGGTAAGAGTCCCCTAGCCTTCAGGCTAACAGTGGGAAGTTTTCGAGATTTTCCTCTCCATGCAACGCAAATGCAGGTTAGTTACATCAAAAATTCCTCCACGAAGACGAACTTCTCCCTATACTTGATCCAGGAGTTCCCTGGTCTTCCGGATCGTGTTACAAATTGCAAAGATGAGGAGGTAAACATTTGTCGTCTTAAACCTAAAATCGGATCAGCTGTTCAACGACGGTCATAAACTAACATTAAATAACAAGACAGCCGAAGTTGTAGTTGTAGTTCATTTACGTTTATCTTTAAGGACGTTTCAAAGACATGCCATCACAATTTTGATTCAATGCGGAGGGGATAGCTCCCTCGCCTTGGTAGTAAAACGACCTGTGAGCGAAGTCAAGCACTTTACGGTAGAGCAGTTTACTGAGGACTAATACCACACACCCTCGGTCCCTTCGTAGCCTGATCAAAGTGGTCACCTACCTGTGCCCTGACTGCAGCCAGTAATACTTGGCTTTGGGTTTCTACTGGGAACCGTGTCTTACGATTAGTCATCTGTGAGTTACCAGAAAAATAATTCTGGTGAAAATACCGTACAGTATGGGAATGATATTTCAGGTAAAAAAACATAATTCAAGTAGTAAAAACCAAAAAATACGGTATATAAACCATTCATTTGGGAATTTTCTCATATCGTAATTAATAGCTTACCGGAAATTCTGGTTTCAAATTTATAGTTCTTATTACCACGCATTTAGTAAAAAGTACAAAACTGAAAAGTAAATTTTACCGAATAAATTGTTTTTATGCCATGCTCTACGGTATCATGGTAAAATTACCTAATTTTTCCATAATTGATGAATTTTATCGCAGATTATAAAACCATATTTTATTGCTAATTTTACCAAAATCATTACCAAAGTGCTTCGGCGAAAATTACCGATCTTTTTGGTGTTTCCATAGAGTTAGAAACATAGTGAATTTTATCATAATCTGGTATTTTTGACTATACTTTTCTTCTTAGTGAACAGCCAGCTAACGATTTCCACCTTTCTGATCGCATTAATTATTATTTAATATTAGGCGCACCTCTCTCAGCTCGATTCACTCAATCAAGCTCCATGATTGCTACGCAGTCATTTTTGTCTACTGTTAATGCAGGACTATTCCATCAAAATTAAAAATTATTCTATTAAAAGATCCCTTGCATTTTATTGTTTAAACATATATTTAGTTCCATTTTTTTATTCCTGATATTTTTTGTCTGTTATTAGAGCAACTTGTTTTCTTTTTCTTCTTTTCTTTTTCTTAAAATTCGTATTTAATTTTCGGTTCAGTAAGTTAATCGGTTAATTAATATTTTTCGCCTCTGATTTTATTCATCAACAGCTCGAAATTCCGAACAATGCACGCAGAAAAATAATTCCTAACAATGCAACAGAATTTTAAAAATACTAGTTACTTTATATACATTATTTGAATTGCATATGCTGACTAGACACAGTTTTGCGAGAACTTTATAATGAAAGTAAACGTTATTTATTTAATGTATAATAACTGTAAAAAGGCAATTTAATATGCTTATCAAAAAGTTATACATAATATGTATAGCTGTATCTGTAGTATGATTAGATTAATATATAATATAATAAAAGACAATCACTTTCAGTCTAAAGCCTTTAATTTGGAACATTAATGAAAAACAAAAGGGTTAGAGTAGCAGAGAATAATATTAATAAGGTACGGTTAATTAATATCACTGGCGCACCATTAAAAACGAGTTAAATAAATAATTTGAAATTAGATAACTTTATAGCTTTCATTAATTTTAAGATGATGAGAATCAAAGTTATTTGTATTTTCTTTGTTTACTGACAACCATAATATGTTATTTTTATGTCTTATACGAATGTGCGAAATGACGAGATGATATTTATCTTTTTCACGACGTCTGGAAAAAACTTAAATTGATTGCCACATTTATATTTTATTCTTACTGAATTTGCATTTGACATTTACATCAAACATAAGGCTACATTTTTTAATTTACAGAAGGAATTTCGAATATAGGCTTATTTCTTTGGTTAGCACAATATGAAGTTAAAGGTTCTACATGATTTGAGAGTTTATGACAGTTTTTATAACTTCCAATAATTCATTTTTTATTAAGTTCATTTTAAAAGATCACATGCTTAACAGACATCCATTGTAGATAGATTTGCTTTATTGAATGATTAAGAGTGAAGTTCATAACTTTTACGCATTCATCAACAGTTTTCCTCAGAATTAGTTCACACACCCCTTTCATAATATCTATAACTCCAATCCTTCAATTTTCCAAACACTGTAAGGCATTTCTGATCAAATTACGGTTTGGAGTACCGGTACTGTGGGTACCCGAAAAAGGCAATTTTACCGTTTAAATTTACAGTATTATATACACCGAAGAGCCATTACATTATGACCACCCTCAATCTATGACAATGGGCTCGCTCTGTATTTCATGGTTTCTCGCCCAGGAACAATGTTTTCATGGGGTACATTAGGACCCATAATCCTCATANCTTGAACATAGTTGCAGACCAGGTTCATCCATTCATGGCAACAATTTTTACTGCGGGGGATGGTGCTTACCCACAGGATAATACACCATGTCATGAGGGTCAAATCGTCATGGATTGGTTCGAGGAACATTCCAGTGACTTTCAAGTCATATCTTGGCCCCCAAATTCACCTGACCTTAATCCAATAGTGCATTTGTGGTCCTACTTGGAAAACCAAATTCGTGCTGCCACGCTACCTCCTCGCAATGTGAGGGAATTGCAGGACCAGTTGGTGAGCGCTTGGTACCAGATATCTCATACTACCTATCAGCACCTTGTGGAATCAATGCCACGGTGGGTGCTAGCAGTTTTGAGGGCGAAAAGTGGTCCTACATGTTATTAGTCATAATGTAATGGCTCTTCGGTGTATTTAATTAGAGTGATAAGTGATTTTGTGGTAATTATTACAGTAAAAGTTACTGTATATACGATTTCTTGTTTCATACATGTTCCGGTAAAAATAAATTTTCCGGTAAAAAGTACCGGCACGCTGAACACTGATACTTTTTACTGTAATTTATACCAAAATGTTTTACAATGACGAAGTGTAATCCATATTAGTAACTTTTTACTTTTTGTACATAGGGGGAAGTGGGGGAAGTATGAAATGTATTATTTATCTTATTCTTAATTACATTTTTAAAAACTTGAAAAAATAACAAATTCTATTCATTCAGAAGAGATTCTATTTATTTTTAAAACAAATGACTTACAAAAATTTTATTTTACAAACTTTCAAGTATAATTTTATCACATCAAAAGATGATTTTAGCAGGTTTTGGTGATTCCGTTCTTTCAGTTTTGGTACTAAAAAGCGACTGATTTCATAATCAAGTGATTTTATTAACGGTAGTCACTGAATTATTTTATTTTATTAAAAATTAAAATAATTAATCGTTATAGAACAGAAAGCACAGTGAGTCGGCTAACTTTTAGAAAATTACTTTCACCATATAGATTGTGTTTGGGTATTCTGTAAGTCATTCAGAAATAGAGTTACATTTAACGTTCTAATTGAGAATGTTTTTTTTTTAATGAGATGATATTAATTTTCTAAGCTGTATAAAAATACTTGTTTTTGTAGCTGGACAAGAGAATTGTGATGAAAGCAAGGGTGAAAAGTTTGGCACCTGTTACTCAGCCTGTCCTGATACTTGTTCAAACTACAAAGATCAAGGTCGTATCTGCACTTTGCAATGCATCATAGGTTGTGGATGTCCAAGTGGAACAGTTCGAAGAGAATCTGATCAACATTGTGTTAAACCTGAAGAATGCTGAAAGGTGCATAGTCTGAATGTTTTTCAATAAAACTTTTCAAACTATCTGCGTTTAATTTCCGTCCTACGCAATTTAGTTCTTAATACAGGATGCAGCAAGAAAAAAAACTTGTGTAAACAGTTTTTAACATGAATTTAATGAAAATAAATAAATTAACAAAATATAGCAAATAATAATAATATTAGGCTTTTACTAATAAATAAATTTAAGTGCTTCCAAAGTGGTCGTCTTTTGCAGCGATGCAGAGGTGCAAATGCTTATTGAAATCTTCAGCAATGGGTCGCAAGTCTTTTACTTTTAATCTATCTCATTCCCACTATAACGATTATTTCAGAAACTCCAAATTTTGTGTACAGAGCAAACGACAGATTTCCTTCTGTGAACAGCTCTAAAATAGCAGGTGTCTTTTGATTGACATTTTATAATTAGTGTAATGGACACTTCCATTTATAACAAAGTTCTTATGAAAGATTTTTACTTGTTTAGCATCTGCTGGAGTTTTCTTTCTTGAACAAAATTGTTCATTCCTACAGGGCAAATTAACCACTTTGGTTTCAATTTTATTTTTAGCACTATTCGATACTATTTTAGTCGAAAATCTTTTACGTTTCTCTGTAACTAATGTGTTAGTCCCCATTTTGTTGCCCACAATCTCTGGCAAACTTTTGCTACCTTTATTGGAATTAATCTTCATCTTTTCTTCCATAACTGATGATTCAGTTCTAACATGAATTTTACTATATTTTACTTCCGAAATCTTTTCAATTCTTACATCTTCACCTTTCTGGCAAACTTTATCATTTTCAACCAAAACCATTTCACAATTTTCCGACAAAAAATATCTGCATATGATGCTTCTTTCTGGCACTTTGGATGTGCTATTTCTTCTTCTACAATTTCTACCACAAAACTGACTCGATTGACTTGGCCATCATCTTTTTCTTCATTTTTCATCTCAATTTTTTCTTGGATGACTTGATATTCCTTTTCTTCTACCACCTTTACTATCTCTGTAGAAATTCCGTCGACCAATTCGTCTCATGGTACTGCACTTTTTATTTCTGTGTTTAGTACACATGGACTAACTTCCAATATCATATCTATTTCTGCTCCTACTATTTGATTCTGTTCCTTCCGATTCTAACACTTTCCATAATGTTTTCATCAAATTTTCCGAATTCCTTACGAAAATAAGCTTTATTTCTTTTTCCTTTATTCTCTTCAAAACTTGGAGAACTCCAATTAGACACTGTTTTAAAAATATTTTCTTCCCAATCTATAGTCACATTCTTATTTACTTTAGTAATTGGTTCCATTTCTTCTGGTACAACTGTTGGCGAGACTATTGCTCTTTTGGAAGTCGATTGGCTTCTTTCAGAATTACTCCTGGCAACATTTCCATACTTAGTGCCACCTAATTTACCAATATTAAGCCAACTTGATTCTGTGCCCTTCGAAGTAACTGTTGTTTCAATAAAGGAATTTGGTGCTTTTCGGGAAACATTCGGCGATATATTTTTATAGTCGGATTGGTGGTTACTATATTTCCAACTTCTAGCGTAATTTTCTTTTCTGTAATCCAAATCTCGATGTCTACAGTATTTCTTAAAATGTCCTATTTCACCACAATAGAAACATTCACTTTCAGATTTAAATTTCTTCACAATACTTGGCGAATTCCATTTCTTTTTAAAATGTTCCTTCTGCCGATCGTTATTACACGGAATATCTTGTGGATCATACTGAAAATTGCCAATGAGATTTTCTTTAAAGTAATAATATTCATCATCATAACTTTCTGGCCTTTCAGCAGGAATAAGCTGCAAAGCACACGAAAACCAAAGATCAAAATTCACCCTAAATCTCTTCGCTTTCTGTTCAAAGAGTTCGAAGTATCGTCGAATTCCACACTTTTTGGCATCAATTTTAAACATCTCATTCAGGAATTTTTCTTAAGTAAGAAATCCATAATAACAATAATGTTTAACTAAGGTAGACAACGTTAAAGAGCACAAAAATATTTTTGTGCTCTTTAACGTTGTCTACCTTAGTTTGTATTTTAGCACAAAGGTCGCCCACTTGTGTATTTAACAATAATGTTTGTCACCAATTCTTTCAAAAACTTAGTAAAACATTTCTGGAACGGATCCCACCGCTGCCACCAATTAAATATATATAGCTGTAGCGTATCACGCTATATTAAAGAACTGTTCAGTTTTTTTTATAAAAACTTTTATTAACAAACAACACAAACAGTAACAAATATGAATTACCCGTAACGGGATAGTGAAAAGATCATAAAACAGCAAGGGAAACCCGTAACGGGATATAAGGAAACTCACCCGTAGCGGGATAGATAAAATATTATAAAACAACTAGATAAAGTGCCCGTAACGGGATATATCAAATATTATAAAACAACTAGATAAAGTGCCCGTAACGGGATATATAAAAATTATAAAACAACTAGATAAAGTGCCCGTAACGGGATATACGAAAACTCAAATTCCACACAAAACTAATTCTAAAAAATCAACAACTTACTGGTGTTCTAATTTTATCGTCTGCTTTTATTATTTAAATTTATCTTCTTATGTGTTTATTTTATTTATGCTCTTGCCAGCCCGTTAGTTTTTAATATTTTTACTTTTATTCATGCTTTTGGAAACCAATTATCTTTCTTATATTTTTAGACTTCATAACTCAATTAAAAATGTAAAAAATTTATAAATTGAATGGCACTCCATTTTTTTCTTTAATACGGCTGAAGAGTTTTATTGCAAAAACGCAATAAAGTGCAAATTAATGGAATTTTACCAATATTTGCTATTAGGTTATGCTGGTGCAAAAAAATTTACAATAATTGGCTGAAATAGTGGCTTTCTTGCAGCAAATTGTCGTAAAATGTATAATTTCATATACATCATTAAGAAACATTTTTTGCACATAATATTTTTACTCTTATTTGATACTCTATGTACACAACTATTACATACATCACACATTAAGCATCGCTTGCATATTATTACATTAAAAATGAGAAAAAAGCATTTTTGTCAAAGCTAATAGCTAAGCATTAATTCCGGACTCTACTTTATAATGAAAAAAGAGTAATTTATTTTGTAAATGTATCGATCTTTTGCTAATATATGTTGTATTTAATTTTTTTAATGATTCGCTAATCAAGTAAAATAGCTTTTTCTTTCTTTAAGTCCTTTTTTCGTATAATCATTTGTTAATCTAATTTACTTTTAATTAGAGAATTCCTTCACAGTTTTTCTATCAAATCATTAATTTATTATCATTAATCTATTTTAAAGAGTTGTATGCGTGGGCATTTTATCGAGGCGTTATTTTGACTGAAAATGCCTCTTTTTTATGTTATCTAAATAAGTTTATCAGTTCATTCAGGATAAATTTATGCACCATTGAAATAATTCCATGTAATTTGGTTGATGACAATCACGTTAATTACTATAATTAAGGGATGAGCTTTAGTAATAGCATTGGAAGTAATTTGTCTATCTTGCCGAGAAAAGATACTTCAAAGTTAAACTGTCAATGTTGACTTCGTATTTTCTTTCAAAAAAGGAAGTGCGTAAATGTTTCATTTGAGGACAAGCAAGATTACAAATCCACTGAGTCAGGTAGAGAAATTCTTCAAAATAAAGCATCGTTCCTTCTATTTTGTTTTAAAATATACGTACAGAAATCCGAATTTTAAAATTTTGTTCTAATGTTAGTATTTTAGGAGAATCGGAACAAAAACTATGAAATTTCAATTATTATTTTTATTTTTATAAAATTTAATGACACCAATTATTAAGTTGTAGAACATAATTTTATTTTGATTAAAATGTTAGATAAAACTTACAAATAATGTCGGAAATTATGTATGAAATTTATGTTGCTTATCTTGAAGTATTTACTAGATTATTAATTATGAAAATGTACAATTTTTGATTTGAATAAGTAACTGAGTTTAATTTATTAAACAGACTGCATTAATGGGGACAAAATAATGGAAACATGCAATAATGGAAACTAATACATTTTTTTATATTTCTTCAGAAATCAAATCGGACTTTCTCCATCAGATTCCAAATATGATTTACTACAAAATTAATGAAAAAAGAAACATAAATTTTTTTCACCACGCATGCGTAACATAAGATAACTACTTTAAATACGTATATTTGCATGATTTTAAAGGAATTTTTTTCAAATTTGAAAGCAATAATTTTGTAATTAAATTTAAATTGCTCTAAAAATTCTGTTTAATTTTATTGAATATTTTTAAGTTATAGCAGAAAACGTAAGCCAAATAAATCAGTTTTATAAAAATGTTCACATCTCCTTAAATATTCAAGCTAGTCTTGTGAAATTTTGCGTAATTATTGCATATATTAATCAAAATAACTGTCACAAGTTACAAATCTATTGCTAAATCTTTTTGGCATAGGGTGTTCCAAATCCTTATTTTCCGTTTGTAATTTATTGTCTGTCCCTCAAACCTCTAAAAGCTTTAAACTTCATTCATATGTATGAGAAATAGCAAGATCTAAAATCTTCTAATATTTATAAAATGATTATCTCTTTATTTCTGGAAAAATATGAAATAGAAAATGAATTTTAAGTTTTTAGGTAATTTCAAGATAATTTTGTTGAGATTATCTTGAAATTGCAAGTGAGATTTAAATAAATAACATTAAATTTTCGTTTCAATGCGATTTTGAGATAGGTAAAATTTGAAGTTTTAATCGTTGCTGCAAAGTAAAATTCTTATGCTTATCTTATGTGGATTTAAATTGCAATATGTTTTTACACTGCATTTTTACTTTTTAAATCTGTACTGAAATCGACTACAAAGTGGAAATAACCATTCTGAAGTTCTTCCTTCAAGCATTTCTGTCGATCTGTACAAAAGAACTAAATCCTTCTGTCTGGCGTCATCAAAATCTCCTGGTCTTTTTGAAGAAAAAAAATAAACACTTCAGTGTCTTTTGTTAAAAACTACTTTAAAAGTGCTCCCGAAGGAAATTAT